AATAAATATGTTGACTATGCTAGATTGTTTTTGTTCTTCCTTCTTATCAGTTTTATCCCGGGTTACACGAAGTTAAAAATTCGGAAATCATGTTAAATTTTTGAATGAAAGGCTGTGCTATTGTGCCAAGTCTTTTGACGATCAGGCGATGTTTAGAGTCGTTTATTGAAAAAACGGTGGCACCTACACAGAATTTACTTTTGATCAATTTGTTTAGAATTTGCCAACTATTATTTGAGTTCTTATGACAAAATGCTGTATCTGTATACGTTTAAGAAATAATTACGAGCAAAGTGGGTGTTTTTGCAGATTTCCACAGCGGATGTCCGTTTTATTAAGCTCTTTCGTTATTGTGATAACTTGTGAACGAAACGTCCGATTACAATGATTCAAAATACGTCTTGTATTTATTTTTCACTAGCAGTTGATTGGTCGATGCCACGGGTTAAAAATCATAACAATTTCCCCCGAAAATGGACTTGTTAAAATTAAGGAAATCGAGCCGGCTGTTTTATGGGGGGCCATTAGTCTCGCCTCCTCGCCCGGGCTCCTCAATAGACACCCTCCGGCACCCGCCTCCGCAGCCCCCGCGCAGCGACCCGCCAGTGGCTCCTGAGCGGACTGTATTTCTTTTGTTCTCCGGGTGTGAGCTCGGAGGCAACTTTCTGCCAAGATAAGTTGTCCAGAGCTCTAATGAAGCTGAGTTGGAAAACAGTACGGTAAGATATGCCAGGTCTATTTTCAGCATCGCTTATAGCCTCGCGAAGGGCTCAACACCGAGGGGGAAATCACTTGAGCTCGTAGCGCACGGGCAATTTCGTGGCATTTTCCCTGCCATTTCGGGGTATTTAGCGACCATTTCACCGACTATTTCGCGTCTATTTCGGATCTTTTTCGCTCTACGAAGCGCCGGAAAATGGCATACACCGTAGGGTACGATCGATAGATAAAATACGTCGTTTGGTATAGTTTTGTTTCGGAAAGTTTGGTTGGACGAATAAGCCTAATTACATTGTGTGATTCCGGCTGAAAGTGCAGAAAATTGTACTAAAATGGCGATATTTGTCATGATGGCGGCAATGATCTGATAAAGAGAAAAAAGACGATACAGAGATCCAAGTAGAAAAAAATAGCATGCGAACCTGGGAGAACCACAGTTAATCTTACTCTCTTCATAGTTTTCAAATCGAAATATACGAAATCGAACGCTCCAAATCGTATTTCCTGCAACTGTGTCTGGCGGATAAACCATTGAATCTGTAAAATACGGAGAAATGCTTAAGCATTACCAATTGTTGATTTTTGGACGTAGAGTGAGCACTTCCTTTCGGCCCTTCTCAACTACTGCCCTCACCTTTCCCCGCATGTTGGCGAGGAAAGATTTCCCTCTTAGGTGCGGTCAGTAAGCTGGGAAGCGATGGAGGGAACTCGTCCGATCAAATACCCAGTGAGAAATAACATGCCGGAACGATAACGAAAATGGGTCAAAAAAATAAAATTGGCGTCGAAAAGGACGTCGTTTAAATCTCGTTTTCACGGTTAGTTCTCACTGGGTACTTCCGTGAGTCAGTGAAAAAGAAAACATATACCTCTCGCTCGATCCGAGTGTCTACTCCTGGATGAAGAGTCAAGCCCGTCTGCAAGGCGCTCGAAATCCTGAAACTCTACAAGAATGTTGTGTAAAAGGCGGCAGGCCAAAAAGGGAAAGTTTCTCTGTCCACGTCTCGGACTCACCTCCGAACTCATCCGTTCTCCGATGACGCACACGAACAGGAGCCTGGCGGTCAGGAACGTGCCCAAAATGAGGAGGCAGGCGCCGTCGAACGCGTCAAAGGGGAGTGGCTCCTTGTACTCGCCCAGCACCCCGGCGAACATCATGGTGAGCATCACCCCGGTGTACAGGAACGCCACCGTGCCGATGAGGGCGGCCGTGCTGGCGAGCAGGTTGAACCCCCCGTAGGCCCAGTTGGTGGCCCGCACCACGTCCTGGACGCTCTGGTAGCGCACCCGGAGCGCGCGCAGGCCGTGCAGGAGGCCGCGCGCGGCGCGCCGCTCGCCCAGGAGCAGGAAGACCCGACGCCGGCAGTGCACGCGGCATGTTGACGAGCAGGTGCAGGAGGGCGCCACGTACGCGGCCAGGTGCGACAGCGCCGCGATGTGCTCGAGCACGCCGTCGGCGATGGTCGCCAGGAAGTCGACGTTGGCCGACACGATGTGCAAGAACGAGTCCTGCGTCGCGCCGATGAGCACGACTGGCAGCAGGTCGTGCAGAACATAGAATGCGGGAGCCCACCTATCCACATAGGCATGCAGCTGCACAAAGGAGCAGAGGGTTAAACCGCGGCCGACGAGGTCACGTCTGTGTCGGTCGGTCCACCCCACCAGTGTCGGGTTGCGCCGAGCCGCGCGCTCATCTGGCTCATCCCACACCGTCGTCACCACCGTTGACCAATCAGCGTTCAGGAGGAAACCGATCGGGTCTTTACTCTTTAAGCTCCGATTTACTTCTGGCAGACCCAAATACCGCAAAGCTGCCGACCTCGGACGCTCCCGCCCGGGGCCGGTGGACCATGACCGACCGATGCAGACCTCTGCCGTGCCAGGCACCAAACCGATATGGAACTGTCGTACGGTATAAGTCATGCAGTAAAAGATGTTGAAGGTGAAGTTGGCTCCGAACCACGCCATGGCGGCGTGCCTGCTCGCGCACTTGTTCCGCGGGCCCGGGTAGGAGTGCAGGTAGAGGAACACGGCCCTGACGAGCAGGCTCACGTCGCGAGCATAGAGCAACATAATCACCTGCGGCAGGAGTACGTACGTACGTTTGGTTATATAGGCATGAGGGTTCCTGTAGCCCCGCTCTCTTTTACCTGGGTCAGACTGACTGCGAGGCCCTGTATGCCCAGGTTGAAGGTTCCGAGCCAGAAGATGTACGAAATTTCGTCAGGAGACGAACTTCTCTGCGCTGTCCCGTACTGAGTCTGTGGGTGCATGTTCGACATTTTACACACATTTGTAACCCAACGAAGTAGAGATGCCCTCAGCTACACGGGCGAGTATTTCAGACCTTGAACGCGACGATGATCCGGTGGAAAAACAGCGCGACTCTGGCCGCGGTGAACGCCACCAGAGACGCGCAGCCGTAGCGCGTCCACCGGCGCGACCAGCGCAGCGGCCAGCCGCTGCAGCCGAGGACCCCCGCCAGCCGCAGCGCCGCCAGGACGGCGCGCCAGTGCGCCACCAGGACGCGACGGGAGGAGGACCACGCCGCCGGCGTCGTCGTCGTGGTCCCCGCCGCGGACGCCGCCAGGAGGAGCGCGCCGGCCCCATCGCCCATCCTCCAACGCGACTGGTACTCGTACCGCACGCGCGGGCTACGGACGAGCGGTCGCTTCGATTCGTCGTTTGACTTTCAGGCGGGTGGCACGCTTCGCTTGGCGTATCGACTGTGTGGCGGGGCACCCGGAACGAGAACGATTCATTATCTTAGTTTTTCGACAGTATGTCCGGAGGGGAGGGGGGGGGGGGGGGGGGGGGGGGGGAGCGGCCAGGAGCAACCGTTTTTTTTTCCTTTAAGAGAGTGCTTCCTGAGTGACCGATTCATGGCAGCATATGCCTCAGGCATAATTTCCTCCTGCACAATCAGTTTCAAAGACGTCGGGCGTGGATTAACGTCTGGCTGGCAGGAGGAGCGATGCATTGTCGGCTGCCTACACACATAGGGGTTTTTGTAGTGAAAATTGCCTACCTTTCAGGCTTTCAGGCGGCTCACATAAAGTGACAGTTAGGGCGATCGTCTCTCCTCCCCCCCTTCTTTCCCCCTATATTCGCGCCTGCTAGACGTCCGTCGCGGAGGTGCGACGGCGGCGTGTACCCCGGTGCGGGCGGCGCAGGCAGGCAGGCCCGTTGCGCTCGGGTGTGTCGCGGGACTGCCTACCCACCGCTCCACTGGCGGTGAGCTGGCCGGGGCGGGAGATTCAAACTGCGGCGCGCTCCAGAGGAAACAAGCCGCGGAAACGGACGGGTGGATTGAAATTACGCCGTGGGACACCACCGTCGGTAAGAGGCTTCTTTTGATATAGTTTTGTTTGGGAATGTTTGGTTGGACGTAGACCAACTACACTATGTAATTCCAGACGAAAGTGCAGAAAATTGAACCAAAATGACGATATTTGACATCATTGCGGCAATGACCTAAAAGAAGAAACAGGACAAAACAGAGATCAAATAGGGGGAAAAAATCTATGAAATTGCGAACTTGGGAGAACTATTAATCTTACTCTGTTCATAGTTTTCAAATCGAAATATAAGAGATCGAACACTCCAAATCGGATTTCCTGCATCTGTGTTTGTCGGATAAACCATTGAATCTGTAAAATACAGAGACCTGCTGGTAATTTTGGGCGTACACTGTAAAAAATGTTCGGATTTTTGCCATACAAGTGTTTGGGAAAAATCCCATACGCGTGTTGGACGCGAAATTTTCTACACATGTGTAGGATTTTTACTATATACGAAATACTGTATAGGGAAAAACCGATATGTATGTGAAAAATCCCACACTTTTGTGGCAAAATGCCTGCGAGTGTTTAGGAAGAACTTTTCACATACAAGTGTGGGAATTTTGCTATTTTTATCTTGAAAATTTCCGACAACGCAATAGTAAAATTACAGTTCATGATTTTTGGACACATCAGTCCTGCTGCTTGGGTACAATTATTCAGCAGTCTCGTTGTCCTGCTGTGGCCTCAAAGGAATCATATTGTGTCGAGAGTGCTTCTCAAGAGAAATGAAATATATCAAAATATTAGGGCACAGAGTTTAATATCATTCCCGAAATCAAAACATGCATTTAGAAATCCCTTACGCAAAGGGCAGGTGGCCGCCGCCCGCACCTGGCCTCTAATAATGGCCGGGTGGGGCCGGCCGCGCGGCTCTGGAATGACCCGGGGACGCTACGGCCTCTCTCCCAACAAGTCCCCGTGGTCTAGTGGTCAGCGTGGCAGCATTGCATCCTAGAAGTCCGAGGTTCAACTCCGCGTCCGGTAAAGTATTTAGTAAATAGAATTGTGAACTTAAATGTAAATTACGATGAGTGAGGGTGCAGTAAGAGTAGGATCCGAGTCCACAGCCCCAAAAATATCATTTTTCCTTTTAAAAATTCGTACGGGAAAAATCCCACACCTGTCAAGGAAATCTGCTGCACTCGTATGCGATTTTTCCCACACACTCGTATAGGAAAAATCCTACACTTGTCTCGTAGATCTGCTGCACGCGTATGGGATTTTTCCCACACAGTCGTATAGGGAAAATCCTACACACTGTATATGTAATTTGCTTCAGACACATTTATGGGATTTTTCCGACACATATTTTTTACAGTGTAGAGTGATCTTTCACGGCCCTTCTCCACTACTGCCGCACCTTTCCCCGCATGTTGACGAGGAAAGGTTTTCCCCTGTTAGGTGTGGTCGATAAAGCTGGGAAGAGATGGAGAGAACTCGCTGGTGAGATACAATACCCACTGGGAAATAACGAGTCCCGGAACGAAACTATGTCAAAAATATCAAAATCGCGTCGAAAACGACCTCGTTATTTCGATGCCGTATTGACGGTCAGTAGTCGCAGGGTAGTTCCGTGTGTAAATTATAAAAAGGAAGACATACCTCGCGCTCAATCCGAGGGTCTATGCCTGCATGACGAGTCAACCCCGTCTGCAAGGCGCTCGAAATCCTGAAACTCTACAAGAATTTTGTTTGAAAGACCAAAGACGAATTACCCATGCCGCAGCTCATATGCCTGCCTCGGGCTCACCTCCAAGCTCATCTGTTCTCCAATGGCGCACGTGAATAGTAGCCTAGCGGTCTGCAATGTGCCCAACGCCAGGCAGCAGACGGCGTCGAGCGCGTCAAAGGGGAGTGGCTCCTTGTACTCGCCCAGTATCCCGGCGAGCGTGATGATGGCTATCACCCCGGTGTACAGGAACGCCACCCCGCCTATGAGCGCGGTCGTGCTGGCGAGCAGGTTGTACCCTCCGTAGGCCCGGTTGGTGGCCCGCACCACGTCCTGGACGCTCTGGTAGCGCACCCGGAGCGCGCGGAGGCCGTGCAGCAGGGCGCGCGCGACGCGCTGCTCGCCGAGGAGCACGGGAACTCGGCTGCAGTGCGCGGGGCATGTCGACGAGCAGGTGCAGGGCGCCGCGGACTGGGCCAAGTGCGATAGCGACGCGACGTGCTCGAGCACGCCGTCGGCGATGGACGCCAAGAGGTCGGCGTTGGCCGACACGATGTGCAAGAACGAGTCCTGCGTCGCGCCGACGAGCACGTGTGGCAGCAGGTCGTTTAAAATGTAAAACGCGCGTTCCCAGTTGTCCTGGAAGAAATGCTGCTGCACAGGACAGGAGCACGCAGCGTTAAAGCGTGGACGACGAGGTCACGTCTGCATTTTATCGGTGTCCACCATCCACCAGTCCCGGGGACGCACGAAATGCAACATGTGTGAGTGGGTTCGGTTCGAGCCAATGGCGTGTTCGAGCTCGTCGGAGTATTTTTCGCTGTAAGCCAACCAGAACCTAGGGAAGCAAAGCATGACTGCCCGATCCGTTTCGTTCGCCTTCTGCGCGCTCAAAACAGGCTGATCGCCACAATGTCTTCGCCGTTGACCAATCAGCGTTCTGGAGGAAACAGATCAGTTAGTCATCCACTGCTTCTTTAGATTCCGATGTCCTTCCGACACCTATTTCTCTACTTCGTGCTCCCGAGACTGGTAGGCCGACCGACCGATGCAGACCTCTGCTCTGCCCTCTGCCGTGCCAGGCACCAAACCGAGCATAGTCAAGGGAACTGCCATACGGTATAACTCAGGCCGTAAGCGGCGTAGAAGGTGAAGTGCGCTCCGAACCATGCGACGACGGCGCGCCTGCGCGCGTTCTTGTTCCGCGGGCCCGGGAAGGAGTGTAGGTAGAGGAACACTGCCCGGACGAGCAGACTCACATCGCGGGAATAGAGCAACATAACCACCTGCGGCAGGAGTACGTACGTTTGGTAATGTGGGACGTGAGGGTCCCTGTAGTCCGCCCTGTCTTACCTGGGTCAGACTAATTGTGAGGTCCTGTATGACCAGGTTGAAGGCGTCGATCCAGAAAATGTACGCAATTTCGCCAGGATACGATTCTTTCCGCGCTTCCTCGATCTGAGGCTGTGCATGTTCGACATTTTACATGACCTTTTTGTAACCCTACACAAAAGAGGCCTTCAGCTGCATGTCCTGTATTTCGGACCTTGAAGTCGGTGAAGAACTGACGGGTGAACAGCGCGACTCTGGCCGCAGTGAACGCCACCAGAGACGCGCAGCCGTAGCGCGTCCACGGGCGCGACCAGCGCGGCGGCCAGCCGCTGCAGCCGAGGACCCCCGCCAGCCGCAGCGCCACCAGGCCGGCGCGCCAGTGCGCCACCAGGACGCGACGGGAGGAGGACCACGCCGCCGCCGGCGTCGTCGTCGTGGTCCCCGCCGCGGACGCCGCCAGGAGGAGCGCGCCGGCCCCATCGCCCATCCTCCCCGCGACTGGTACTCGCACCGCACGCGCGGGCCACGGACGAGCGGTCGCTTCGATTCGATTCGTCGTTTGACTTTTAGGCGGGTGGCACGCTTCGCTTGGCGTATCGACTGTGTGGCGGGGCACCCGGAACGAAAACGATTCATTATCTTAGTTTTGCGAGAGAATGTCTGCGGGGGGAGGGGGGGGGGCGAAGTGTGGAGCGGCCAGGAGCAACTCTTTCCTTTTCCTTAAAGGGAGTCTTTCTTCCGCCAGGGAGTGGCCGATTCATGGAAGCATACCTCGGGCATAATTCGCGGCATAATTTATTCCCGCACAATCAGTTTTACAGACGTCCGACTGGCAGGAGGACAAATGCATTGTCGGCTTTCTTTCACACAGGGGTGGGGGGTTGTAGTGAAAATTGCCTACCTTTCAGGCGGGTCACTAAAAGTCGCAGTTAGGGCGATCGCCCCCCCCCCTTTTCCCTTTAATCCTGGCCTGCTAGTCCGTCGCGGAGGTGCGACGCCGCGCCGGCGTGTACCCCGGTGCGGGCGGCGCAGGCAGGCGGCCCGTTGCGCTCGGGTGTGTCGCGGGACTGCCTACCCACCGCTCCACAGGCGGCGAGCCGGCCGGGGCGGGAGATTCAAACTGCGGCGCGCTCCAGAGGAAACAAGCCGCGGAAACGGAAAACCTGGGATTACACCGTGGGGCAACGTCGGTAAGAGGCTTCTTTTGGAGTAGTTTCGTTTAGGAATGGTTGGTTGGACGAAGACCAATCATTACACTTGGTTATTCCAGACGAAAGTGCAGAAAATTGAACCAAAATGACGATATTTGACATGATGGCGGCAATGATCTGAAGAAAAAGAGAAACAAGACGAAACAGTGATCAAATTGGGGAAAAAATATATGAACTTGCGAACTTGGGAGAACCATTAGTCTTACTCTGTTCATAGTTTTCAAATCGAAATATAAGAGATCGAACGCTCCAAACCGGATTTCCTGCATCTGTGTTTGTCGGATAAACCATTGAAGCTGTAAAATACAGAGACATGCCGGTAATTTTAGTCCGCAGAGTGAGCCTTCACGGCCCTTCTCCACTACTGCCGCACCTTTCCCCGCATGTTGGCGAGGAAAGGTTCCCCTGTTAGGTGTGGTCGGTAAAGTTGGGAAGAGGTGAGGAGAACTCACTGGTGCAATCCAATACGCTACCCAGTGGGAAATAACGAGTCGGAACGAAACTATGTCGAAAATATCAAATTGGCGTCGAAAACGACCTCGGTATTTCGATGTCGTATTGACTGTCAGTAGTCACAGGGTAGTTCCGTGTGTAAATTATAAAAAAGAAGACCTACCTCGCGCTCGATCCGAGGGTCTATGCCTGCATGACGGGTCAACCCCGTCTGCAAGGCGCTCGAAATCCTGAAACTCTACACGAATTTTGTTTGAAAGGCCAAAGACGAACTACCCATGCCACAGCACATAGGCCTGCCTCGGGCTCACCTCCAAACTCATCTGTTCTCCAATGGCGCACGTGAATAGTAGCCTGGCGGTCTGCAATGTGCCCAACGCCAGGGCGCAGGCGCCGTCGAGCGCGTCAAAGGGGAGTGGCTCCTTGTACTCGCCCAGCATCCCGGCGAACGTGATGACGACTATCACCCCGGAGTACAGGAACGCCACCCCGCCGATCAGCGCGGTCGTGCTGGCGAGCAGGATGAACCCTCCGTAGGCCCGGTTGGTGGCCCGCACCACGTCCTGGACGCCCTGGTAGCGCACCCGGAGCGCGCGCAGGCCGTGCAGGAGGCCGCGCGCGGCGCGCTGCTCGCCGAGGAGCACGGGGACCCGGCCGCGGTGCGCGGGGCATGTCGACGAGCAGGTGCAGGGCGCCGCGGACTGGGCCAGGTGCGACAACGCCGCGACGTGCTCGAGCACGCCGTCGGCGACGGACGCCAAGAGGTCGACGTTGGCCGCCACGATGTGCAGGAACGAGTCCTGCGTCGCGCCGATGAGCACGTGTGGCAGCAGGTCGTTTAAAATATAAAACACGCGTTCCCAGTCGTCTTGGGTGAAATGCTGTTGCACAGGAGCACAGTGTTAAACCGTCGACGACGAGGTCACGTCTGCATTTTATCGGTCCACCATCCACCAGTCCCGGGGGCGCACGAAATGCAACATGTGCGAGTCCCAGTGAGAAATCAGTGGTTGAATCGACCTCGATTCGACGTCGATTAGGCAGGTCGAAAAATTTTCGAAACCAAGTGTCGAATCGACGGGATTTTGTCCCGCAAATCGACGTTTTTTCGACATCGACTATTTCGATACTTTATCGAAAACGGGCTGAAGGGACTGATTTGAACGGTTGAGCTACAGTCGCCTCACTATAAGGAGTAACCTAGCGGAGCGATAGCTGTTCGCAAAAATTCTTATTAAAGTGTCTAAACGTAACTGTCTTGTAACAGGAATCATCCAGTGCTAAACGATAAAGTTTGGTCCATTATTTGGTATTTAGTTTTCAGCCGTGCGATAGTTAGACTAGAAGTTAGCTCATCACGATGGTAGGGACTATTTTTTTAACGCGCAATGTTCAAGTTACTTCTTATAGTGAAGCGACTGTAAGTCCAATAGTGTCTGTTGATGTCCGTAGACACCCGCGTCGCCATCACGTACAAAAATAACTGCAGAAGATGAAGTCCGTGACGGACACCTCGTACGCCACGATGAACACGTCTCCAGACTATAGTTGTTTTGGCGTTGCGGGTCACCAGCGGGAGCTAACTGTACAGTCAGGGGAAAACCCTGCCTCGAATCGACGTCGAATCGACATCGATCATGTACAATACGAAATTTCTTGTAATGTAGTACCATGAACCGTTCTGAAACACTTTAAGACCCATTAGCTGAGTTAAGCCGTGTCATAGGGCACTTCTCGAGTAACATCGAAATTTCGTCGACAACTTCGTCTCAGGACCAACGATAACTTCTCGAGCAGTCGACGTCGATTCGAGGTCGATTCGAACACTCATTTCTCACTGGGTATGGCGGGCTCGAGCACGTCGGAGTGTTTAAGCTGTAAGCCAACCAGAACCTAAAGAAGCAAAGCATGACTGCCCGATCAGTTTTCTTCGACTTCTGGGCTCTAATTGGCTGATCGCCACAATGTCTTCACCGTTGAACAATCAACGTTCAGGAGGAAACAGATAAGTTAGTCATCCCTTGCTTCTTTAGGTTCCGATTTCCTTCCGACACCGATCTCTCTACTTCGTGCTCCCGGGACTGGTGGGCCGACCGACCGATGCAGACCTCTGCCCTCTACCGTGCTAGGCACCACCAAACCGAGCTTAGTCAAGGGAACTGCCGTACAGTATAACTCATGCCGTAAACGGCGTAGAAGGTGAAGTTGGCTCCGAACCACGCCATGGCGGCGTGCCTGTGCGCGTTCTTGTTCCGCGGGCCCGGGAAGGAGTGTAGGTAGAGGAACACGGCCCTGACGAGCAGACTCACATCGCGGGAATAGAGCAACATAACCACCTGCGGCAGAAGTACGTACGTTTGGTTATGTGGGACGTGAGGGTCCCTGTAGTACGCTCTGTCTTACCTGGGTCAGACTTATTGTGAGGCCCTGCATGCCCAGGTTGAAGGTGTCGAGCCAGAAAATGTACGACATTTCGCCAGGATACAATCCTTTCCGCGCTTCCTCGACCTGAGGCTGTGTATTTTCGACATTTTACCTGACCGTATTGTAACCCTACACAAAAGAGGCCTTCAGCTGCACGTCCTGTATTTCAGACCTTGAACGCGAGGAAGAACTGACGGGTGAAGAGCGCGACTCTGGCCGCAGTGAACGCCACCAGAGTCGCGCAGCCGTAGCGCGTCCACCGGCGCGACCAGCGCGGCGGCCAGCCGCTGCAGCCGAGGACCCCCGCCAGCCGCAGCGCCGCCAGGACGGCGCGCCAGTGCGCCACCAGGACGCGTCGGGAGGAGGAACACGCCGTCGTTCCCCCCGGGCCCGGACGCGCCAGGGCCCCCAGGACAGCGACATCGCTCATCCCCTTCGCGACTGATACACTCTTACCGCACGCGCTGAGGACGCGCGGTCGCTTCGATTCGTCGTTTAGCTGTAGGCAGGCGGCGACGGGTGTCTGCTCGAGCATGCATGACTTGACGTATCGACCTCGTCTGAGGAGGCCGGGGCCCCGTAAACGAAAAGATTAGTTATTTAAGTGTTTCTTTTGGCGACAGGGATAAGAAAAAGATAAGTCCCCGACCAGGCAACAAATCCCTTTCCGAGCGCGCGGTATGCCAAAGACCCACCACCGCCGTGCCTCCTGCCCTGAGCTACATGTAGGACGAGTGAGGGGTGAGGGTGGACTTGGCCTTCTGGTCGAGACAGTCGTGAGGACTATCTAAAAACTCTAAAAGGCCTGGGGTAGGTGACAACATAAGTGGCGATGTTTACTCTGACAGTTAAAACGTGTAGGTACAGAATACAAGTCCTAACTACTGTGATCTCTGAGGTGATTCCGCAATATTCAGGAATCGCAGTATGTTGGTTTGCTGCTGCTGCCGCCAGGCCAGGTGCCGAGGGAACCGCAACCGCCGCGCCGGCTGCCCGCCGTCACCGCCGGCGCCGAGGCGCCAGACTTGGCGATTTCTCGCCAAAGTGGCGATTTTTAGTTTGGTTTAGCGACAAAAAAAATCGCCATTGGCGACTGGCGACTTTCTTGGCGATTTTAGATAAAATTGCGCTTCTTTTATAGGCGACTTTTGCTGAATTTGGGTGAAAATGAGCGACATGGGCCCAAAACCGGGGCTGGCCCGGCTCAGAAAGGCCGGTGCAGCCGACATTCCGGGAAATTCCCCCAACATCCTAGGCCGATTTTCGGGCTATGGTGGCGACTTTTGGCGACCTCGGGCTCGTGGCGACTTTTGGCGACTCGAGCGCCGCCTGGTGGCGACTCGGCGCGCTCAGCATCTGGCCACAGTCCAGTCAGTCCGAGTCGACGTCGACACAAACACCGGCAACAACACGCTGGCTGCGCGTTGCGATTTGCGACTTCTTCGGTTCTGCCTGGCAAGGGCCCAAGTTTCAGCGCAACCCGAGTGCCGCGCTGAGTTCACGCGCGGTGATCTCCTCTGAACTCGACCGTGTTGTGTTTCGGAGCTTGAGCGAGCCGAACGAGAACAGAGGGGTTATAGGACGCACTGCCGAGAACCTCACCAGACCTAGCGAGGCTAAAACGAGCACGTGAGTAAATAACGGCCTGTCGGCCTTGTCGCTGCGTGTAGGCCGTTACATGTAGATAGTGGCGTGATAACGTTTGGAATGTGGTGCGGCCAGAGCAGCTAGATTGGGAGGTCTATAATCACTATTTTTCAGATCGCCAGCCACCAGCCTGGGCATGGAGTGCGACATTTGCACCGACCTCTTCGATGGAGCCGAACGGGCGCCCAAGGTCCTGCCCTGCGGGCACACGGCCTGCCTGCAGTGTCTGCGGCGGCTGCAGGATAGCAAGTGCCCGACGTGCCGCCAGGTGAGTGTCCAGAGTGTCCTTCGGGGTGCTCTGCGCCCTCCGCCGCCCCCGGCTACCTGCCCTTCACTGATTCCGACCTGCCGTTCTCCCCGCAGATCTTCACCGGCCCGTCGGAGGGACTCCCGACTAACTTTCTGGCACTGAAGTTGCCGGAGGGAATCAGACTTGACAGGTGAGCCCCCTCGCCAGCAGATCGCCGCGGAGGCGGAGTGTTCGGTGGCCTCATAGCTTGACTTTGTGCCCCACAGGTCTCCCCTCGGCTGGTGCTCGGGCTGCCGCGCCGCCGCCACGCCGCGCTGCTGGGAGGACCACGGGGTGGTGTCCGTCAGGGGTGCCCTGAGGCGCCAGCTGCAGGACGCGCTGCCGCAGGCCGCCGAGCAGCTCCAGGTCCTCCAGGACAAGTGCCGGGACGAGCAGGCCCTGCCCGCCCTCACCCTGCTGACGGGCGAGTCCTGGGCCGTGTCGCTGCGGGGTGGGGGCCGCGAGCTGACGTGCACCGTGCGCAACACCGAGGAGCCCCTCACCAAGGCGCTGTGGCTCCTGCTGGCGGCGAGGGCAGCACTCACCGAGGTAGGCGATGTGTTGTTCTGCAACGTTTTTCAACTGTTACCATGATTTTGATCGTGTTTTTTAGTTAGGAAGTTTAGTTTGAAAAGGCGTATCAAAGGAAAGACGGTTTGGCTTTAAAGACTTGAACTTTCTGTACATTCATGAAAAATCTCTGCTGAACCACGACCTGTACGTAGATGAATTACCCTTTCACAAATTTATGAACTTCGACCATCCCTGTCGAGTTTTTGTTTTTATATTTAAAACACGTAGTCAACAGAAAAACAGGAACTAGTAAAGATTTAACAAATCAAGCATGCATTGCAGATTATTCGGGCCGCTCATGTGCAGTTTTTGTTTTTGCAAAAAGGACCCACCACCTGCACCACCTTCAGCTTCAGCTGCTCATTCTGCGGCCGCACCACCTGCAGCTGCCCCACCTGCGCTTGTGCCACATGCTGCTGCCACACCAGCGGCTGCCACACCAGCGGCTGCCACACCAGCAGCTGCCACACCAGCAGCTGCCCCACCTGCGGCTGCCCCACCAGCGGCTGCACCTGCAGCTTCCCTTGGCGGCCGGGACGCACCCGAGGCGCGGCCCCTAGGGGTGATGGATGTGGGCATTACCAGCTGCAGTTTGGCCGATGAGCTCCAGCAGGAGAAGGCCGTCGCCTTGCGGGACGCGGCAGAGGTGAGTGAGTGCGCGCCGGGCTTCGAGCCGCTCTCGACCCGCGCGACGACGTCGCGGGGAACTCATGCCATCAAACGCCCTGCGTGACTCTGTCCTCTCTCTCTCTCCCCCGCGCAGGTTTCGCGGCTGGTCAGCGTGTACTGCAACGCAGACCCCGCCTGGAGCCTGGAGCTGCTGCAGCGCGCCTCGCCCTCCGTGGAGTGGCTCAGTGTGTACAACCCCCGCGTGGCCCATCTGCGCGCGGTGCACGCCATGCCGCGGCTCAGGGGGCTGGAGGTGAGGTGCGAGGATGTTGTCTTTGAGAGCCCGTCCCTAACGCTGCCCGATCTCCCTCCGGGACACCACGCCGGCCTGCGCTGGCTCAGAGTTCACCGCCTCCCTCGGCACACGCTGATGACGCTGCTGCAGGCGCACGGCCACTCTCTTGAGGAGCTTCATCTGTGGGTGAGCACGAGGGGGAACATAGTGTGGCCCCACACCTGCTGCGACCTACGCTTGCTGCTGCAGGAGTGCGACCTGCGGGCGCTGCGGAGGCTCGTGCTTAGCAGGGTTCACACCTTGCACGAGGCAGACCAGTGCGACCGGCAGCGCGCCGAGGTCCGGGTAGTGCTCCCTGGAGCCGTGGTGCTGTGCGACAGGTGCGACGGTGTGGCGGTGGACGCGGTGGAGGACTTGTAGGGGCGGCGAGCAAGCGATGCGCGCCTTTTTGCTAACCTGCGGCAGAGAGGACCACGAGCAGCAGGGCCAGCGGACCTGTTCGGGACCAAGAGGACCAGCGAAGAGGAAGACACACCGCGCCACTCGGCAGCACCCCCCGGAGCAACGCGTCCTGTCTGTACAAACAGCGTCTGTTACTAATGAAAGGCAAAGCAGATATACCACTAGAGCTCTAAATAAATTACTTCACAGCAGCACACCTCGGGCGTAATTTCTCCCCGCCCCGCACTCAAGTCATTTTCGGGGAACTTTTGAGCGCCTTTGAGACGTCCATGGCGGAGGTCCAGCGGGGGCGCATCAACGGGCCCCTGAACAAAGCACCTCTAAAGCGTCGGTTAGCGATAATGTCAATAACCTCGAAAAAAAGTAGTAAGGGTCAAAGTACCTTCAAAACTTATATCCCTTTAAAATTTACCTCTTAAAATGTATAGTGCATTTCGCCTGACGGAGGAAGAAGAATATCGCGTAGAACATAAAGGTTCCTGATTGGCCGAGCGCTTACCACCATTACCAGCGTAACGTAGAGGCGGGAAGTTCTCGACCAATCGGTAACGTGAATGTTCTAACCGCTATTCTTCTTCCTCCGTTAGTCGAAATACACTATTTATTGTACTAGAAAGCCTAACGAAGCAGGTGAAGGCACCGTCCCTGTTTGTAGCTGCACAGCTCTAGCTACAACCGACGCGGCCATAGGCAGCTTTATTAGAATACTGACTGTAGAAATAAGTCCGCTCGGCGTACATGCTCACGCGGACAAAAATTAAAATGGGGTAGTACTTTCCTCGTCCCACCGCTGATCCACTTCTGAGTTCGGAACGGGATCAGTCGAACTGCAGTGGTCAGAACATACTCACGCGGGTAAGGGAGGGTGGGGCAGTGTGTAACAGACCTCCGTATTTTGAATATGGCACGTCCGGACCCAAATGTTCCAATGTGTGACAAGGCGAATGACAACGCCTGCAGCGCGTAGGGTAGACCCGCCCGCCAAGCGTCTGTGTGGAGATGGTGGCCTACCTTCGGCGCCTGAGCGGCGATATCCCCCGCCAACCTAAGTTGCTCATACCCTGCAACGAGACTACTACGCTACGTGCAACGCAACACTGTTTGCGGGAAGACAGGCTTTTGGTCTTTTGGTCGTTTTTGACTTCGCGGAGGTAAGAAACTGCTGTTGAAATTTTCTTTTTGTTCTATTTCTTTTTCGTAAATTATAGATTTGTCAAGATAGTGTCATAGAGACACATCTGTCTATATGCCGGAGTGATCAGTCGCATTTGCAAACTTAATTACATAACCTCATTTTGAATTTACTACTATATACCAAACTTTTTTTGATGTTTCTCTAAGGCAAATTTAAATGCATGACGAAAATATCTTCTGTTTCACTTTTATCAGGCTGTTGGTATTTTTTATTTAACCTAAGTTGTTGGATCTAGATAGAATGCGATTCGCAAATTAAGAGTGCTCAAAATGATGCAATTAAAACCTGACAAAATGTTCATTACTTTAGTTAAGCCCAGCGTCTCCGCTCTTCAATCGCACTTCTAATTTGAGATGAAAGTACTAACAGTTAAAGCGTGACACTGAACGGGGAACAGTACTTGTTCTTCACCTAGAAGGGGAAGTGGGCTGTTAAAGAACGAGTAATGAAAGCCTTAAATGGCCTTCATTGAAAAATAGATTGATATTTTTCATAAAGATGGTGCAGTGAATGAAACTAAGGCCATGTAGAGTAATTGTAAGCCATCTCATTCTGTCACCCTCACAGCTCTAGTTCATGACTCTCCTGTTTTAAAATAAGAGCGCCAGTTTGCCCATTTTCTTTCTTTTAGGAATAATTGCTATTACTAATCTCAGATACAGTCTCTGAAAATTTTGAGCTGTTCAAGTGGGATCCCAATTTTTTGTTCACATTTAGTGAGTTAGCAGAAATATATTTTAAAGCCTCTGAGATCCCCCACTTATGTCTTTAACCTTTCTGCTGCTGCACTAATGATTGCAAAAGGGAATGGAGGACACCATTGAAGCAGGACTGGAAGAAACAATTGAGGGCTTACAATTCTGCTAAGTTTT